TTTTCACATGACTAAAGAATAGATCCTACCGAACCACGAACATAACATTAGTTATCGCCAAATTAAGAATTTTTTACTGTTTCATGATGCAACTTATTTTGAATGCAACTTATAATGCCATTAATTATGATGCAACTTAGTTTGACACTATTTTTGTGTCAAACTGCAAATATATGACTGAGTACTGATAAGACCAACAGTGGATGCAACTGGTGTGTGAAATTCTGAACAGATCACCATGGTAATCCCCAATCAGACATCACTCTTCAGTTGCACAATAAATAACAAAGAAGACAACTCTAGAAACCTTGGTTGTCGATCAGCTTCAGAAAGTTTTTTGGTTTATGTTTGACTTTATTATTTTCTGCTGCTTATTTAAATTGACCCATTTTAAACAAGTGAAAAAGAGAATACACTTGAAGACTGAGCAAACAAGAGGCCTTGGACTATGAGATCACAAAGCTCAATTCCAACAGCAACATCTCAATTCACCAATATACCATTGCAGGTAAATCAAACAACTGCTCGTTGATTGTTCCATTGAATACAGGCACTGACACAAAGACACATGTCAGATTTGACAGAGATCAAACTGAAACCCATCAAAGCTGGTTTGATATCCAACCTTTACCCTTTGCATTTAAATGGAAGTCAACAACCTGTCTTCAGCGAGCCAAACCCACACAGACGTTTTCACGGTGAATCATTGCTTAGGGCCAAATATCAAAGACCGAACTCAGAATGATCTTCTCATCCTTCTGTCTCATGCAACACCTTCTCACCTCAGCAGCCTTTTATGTCTGCAAACTGAACTCTTCAGAACTGAGCCTTCAAAATCCTTACAAGTTGTTGGTTTTTAAAGACTGATGCAAAATCAAACAACATTTGTATGTGGAATCAAAACTTAAAACTTATATGCAAAATAAAGAAATGGATTACAAGTCTGTAAACACACCCTATTCACCTGGCAAAAGACAATAAAGCCCAGCTTAGAATCTTAAGTGGTTTTAGTTCCTAATATTTTACTTAATCTTTCCTTACCAATGAGTCCAATGTGTGATATGTGTTTACAAATCACGACCACTCAGTTAGGTTTATACACTAACACTTCTAGTTTAGAAAATGAAACTCCATCTTTAGGTCTGAACATTTTTAAAAGTTCTACATTTCTAAATAAAAATTAAATAAATGTTTAGGCCTAAAAAAATAGCTGCTTGGGCTAATATCATAACGCTATTTTCATGAAACAGGATGTCATCTTGTTAATTGTAAGATTTCAATATGAAACCTAATATGCACTTTTGTTGTGATCATCAACATCCTGTGTATTATCTAATATCAATATTCAAATATCGGATAGAGTTTCTTTTCAATAAATATATCCAGTTGTACATCTTTGTATTGCTAATACATTTCTTCTGGCTGTTTTGTTAGAAGGTGAATGTGTTATATGTGATGTCAATCATTTCAGACAGGGTACGGTTTCGGGATAATTGAGTCCTCCAGACATCTTCATGTATAAGTACAAACATCAAATGTCAGGCCTTGAAATCCTCGATGGCCTCCTTTATCATCTATAAGTAATTAACCAAGTTTGGCTGATAAAAGAGAAAGACTGTGTTTTATTCCAGACATGAGAAAGGTGGGTGGTGGTGATCACCTTGAGACTTCAGCGGAATGGCCTGATCAGATCAAGATGAAAGGAAGACAGAGGGAGAGGTGGGTGGGAGAGAACGACAGTTTGTAACGAGGTAAAAGACGGAGAAAGAAAGGAACTGCAACAGTCAGATAAGAGATATGAGGAAGATAGAAGGTCAGATTCATTAAAAAGATACAAGGTTATGTCTGATTTTTCTGAGCCCCAAGCTATCAGCTTCCCAGAGCAATCTCACTGGCAGTGGGTTAAGGTTAGCCAAGATAATGATCAGTAATACACTGTGTGCTCAGACAGGTATAGACAGAAACAAGGAAAATGGAACACAGGAAAGATTTAAGTTGTTACTGTAGTGATTCTATTTTTGCAACCTGTTCTCAGTCCCAGCTCATCACATATTGCGGAAAGGAATCTTTGACGATGCATTTCAATAGGAGACTCCGACAGTAGGAGAAAACTGAGTGTCTGAAACAGATACCACATGGCTGTAGTCAAGTATTCTTGGAAGCTGACATCTTCATCAAAGGAAACGTCAACAATGTATTCCAGAAATGCAAAGAATTGGAGTAACACGTCAAATACCATTTCCAGAAGATTTTGTTGGCTAGACTTTTACAACTAGAAACTCAGAAAGGAAAATGAAAAAAGGAAGTAAAATGGAAGTGAAAACATAGCAATTTTAACCATTACTTTGTGCTTTTCATACTTTTTGTTGGGTAACCCCTGTAATGAAAAGCGAAATTCTTTCCTTGTATTCAGTATTCAAGGCAGTTTCAAAAACAAGATACAAACAGTGCAGGTTGTCAGGTGTTAATATTTGCTTTATCAAGGTAGCGGTGGCAGTTTTACTGCCTTATATTAAGGAAAGTGTGTTAAAATAGCCAAGTATAAAAATGATGGTATATCATGTCCAGGATGTCACTGCTTTCACAAGTTACTCCTGATCTGAGATGTTCATGCGATATTTTTTTTTCTCATTTAGCTGAGCATCATTCAGACTTGAAATACTGGGAAAAAAGCCATGGATGAAGACAGTCTCAATTAGATATTCTAAAACTGCTTCTTTTGGCATACCTAACATTTGCGAACACTCTGGAGAAAATCTCTGAGCAACTGGCATGTGTTTGGAGAGGATAGGAAGTATGGAGGCAGAAGAGAGGAGAGCACAGTCTGTCCTCTTGTGTGCTCTCTGTTGTAGCTGTGAAACATAAATGCCAAGAAAAATTCTAATTTAGTTAGTGGATTTATGCCTTTTCAGGCTCAAACATCTCTCTCGGTTTTGTCAATGTCTTTTGTTCAATAGTATCTGACACAAGATAACTTTAGAAATCTCAGACCATTACCAGTACTGACGTAGGACTTTGCACATGACCACCTGATGGATCAAACTGTGCCATCTCGAGTCAATGTTTTCCATGAGAGAGTGTTGATGTTCAGCATCACATCAGCTCTGCCTCAGGGGAGATTTAACCAGATCAAATTACATCTCACTGCTTGTGTGTCAATATGCTAACCTTTGCCAGCAATCAGACAAATGGCTGAAATGGATTTCTCATGGACAAATGAACAATTATAACAGTTACCTTTTAATTATGGACAATTTATTTCTTTTTCGTTATCCGAATTCTCAGGCTGTATTTACAGACCTTATCCAACAAAGAGAAGAGAAGGGCTGAGCTTTATTTGCAAAGATGCATCTATTTCACAGTTCACTGAACAAAACAGAAAAGGGCACGGAAGCCAGAAAGAGACAAAAAAAAGTGAGGTGGAGTGAACACTCAGCAAGATGAAGGGCTGGAGATGTGCAACAGAAGGCAAATGAAAAACAAATAGAGGTGACGAGGTGTAGGGATATGTGAAGTGTAGAAAAGATGTGACTGACGACACACACACACACACACACACCTCACAGTTCTGGAACGGTGAAAAATAAAGTTATTCTGTGGTGAGATGGTGATATCAGAAGAATAGATAGGGATAAATCCATAAGCCTGCTATGTACCATCCAGATATTCCTGTTTTGCCGATTTCCATCCATCTTTAATGCTTGATACGATTCCAGTTCGTGGGGGGGCTTGAGAGAACCCTGCTTTCCATTGGGGCGGGACGCTGATGTTTTGCCAATATATATTAAACAAACAATCACTTTCTTACTGCAGAAATAATTTAGATTCATGTAGATAAATATGAGTGGACAAGAGGATGAATGTGACAACGCTTATTAGAAGCAGAACTCCACCATCAGTTGTAAACTAATATTCTTGCCTGGCTTTGACTTCTTATCTTTCCAAGAACTGATAATCTTTTACATCAATGTCGAGAAAATTACTCATGAAAGATAAACAACAAATAATGATAAAGTAAAGTAATACAACACAAAACAGTAATAAAAAAAAGAGGAAATGAGAAAAACATGATTAATGAATGTCCACCATCTAAATTGAAGAGGGATCCTTGACATAGGAGTGCTGAGTCGGGTGTGTCCTTGAACTCAGTTCCTGGCAGTAAACTGAAAAAAAGATATATTCAAACAGACCTCTCTGTGTTAGCCTTCCACAGCCGCCAAATGAATGTTTACCTGAATTTGACTCAAGTGATGATGTATTTGAAAAATAATTAAAATGACCTCAATTATAATTAATTATACAATGACAATAATATTGTCTTTTATTAAAATGAGCCCTTTGGCTTCATCAAAGCAATACAACACTGTTGTAAGGATGTGATACCATGTCAGTTAGCTCAGTTCTCTGTCCAGTCTTCAACTTTGCCACTTTACCTTAAAACAGATTAGATTAGATTTACTTTTGAATTAACATGTATCTGTTTGACAGCTGACCCCAATTTATTGCAATAGACACAACTCACATAAAATGAATTAAAATAAGGACATTTGAATAACTAAATACTTATAGTTCTGAATATGTACAAGAACTGAACCATTTGCATATTTGTCCACAACATTCATGCAGAGACATAAAAGGGATCAGTACATCAACGTTGATTATAAAATGTTGCCAAGAAATCTACAGATACAAACACAGGTGCCACTAAATTGAAATCTGTTGTTGAGAATTTTTAAGTCCTGGTTAAACCTGTGGCTGCTGGTAAATACAGTAGATTGATTGCTCTTATCAAACTGCTGCCATCTTTTGACTGTTACCATGGGAACAAAATGTGATACATGACACAAACACAGTTTTCCTCACTTTTCGCCATCTGTTAAATGCTATGCTTTGCTGATCTTATAACAGATTTGGTCAGGGAGAGGAAATGACAAACGCACAGTTTATAAATCTCTGCCAACCACAAATGTAAAAACTTTTGGACCTGCCATCTGATCAATGGTCTTAAGGTGAGCTGCACTGAAAACTACGCAGATATTCAGGAGAAGAATGACAGAGATGGAATTCCTTTCTCTCCACACAAACTCATCAAAACTGTTTGTTCCTAGGGGTTAGCTTTCAATGAACCAAAGACATAATTACAGCTTTTACTGATCAAAGTAGGGATGAGTGGGATGGAGGCGGTGGGGGGGTGGCTGGGTGTTCGGGGCGTTATGGACAGAGGTCCACATCGTAATGCACTTCTTTCAAACTGCTTTTAATCTGAAAGTCATTTCAGTGTAAGATAATGACAGAGTTGTCATTAATTAGCCGGCACTTTAGATTTGCATCATACACTGCTGATGAACCTTAGCAAGCGTATAAATACACCACAAGAAGTCCGACATGCAGTAGACTGAAAGAGAGATGTATACAAAAAAACATACTTTGAAACCTTTCCAACAACCCAACTTGAAGAGAGGAATTCTCTAACAATAACAATCCATCCCTTTTCTGTGCTACTTTCCTTTAGATTGCATTTCTCTAGCAGAATCCTTCCATCCATCTGCTGAAATCCAATAAGACATACACACTCACTCCATCACTGATCCCTGCTGCTGTCACAGAAGGGGTAGGGGTGATGGGACGGGGAAAAAAATAACATGAGTATGGGAAGAGATGACAGGAAAGGAATCGAAACACCTAGAATTACCACAGAGTATGAAGGATTACTGGAGAAAGAGGTTGTGTGTTGAAAATGTGTCACAGAGGTGTTTCAGGACTTAAAAATGACTTAAATAAAGAGCTTCCTCATTCATCCCCTTATAATCACACACCAATTTTCTGCCTCCTGTAAAAAAATTTACGTAGCACCTCGATTAAAGCTCTCCTCTTTCCCCTAATGACAGATTAGAGAGTCAAAGAGGACACACTTAGTCACATTGGTTCAATAAAAGGGCCAAATGTTTGACTGTAAAGGAACCGACCAAGGGTATATGCATTTCGGTATTTAAATATTGCACCTCAGACCTAAAATAAACCTTAATAAATGGAGATTTCTATCTGCACCGATGCATCATATGACATCATCAGAGCCATGTCTGCAGTACCAGCCAATTGTAGTTTGCAGAAGAGCACCATAAGATGGGCTGTTCATTAGATAAGAAAGTGCCAAGATATGTCAGTAGATATTCCAGCACGCTTTGACAAGCCAATCAATCAAACAACAGACAAGTTGTCAATTTCAGCATACCAGTTTGTGTGTTATGGCTCTGCAATACCAAAACTCAGCTGAGACGCGAGCATGATCGAGGGTTAAGATCTAGTAAGTTCCAGCAGTGGGTGCATAAGTTAAGATCCAGGTAAAAATACTAGTCCCATTAGAGGTGTCATCAGCCGGGGCGATCAGTTATGAGCGCCACATCACTAGCTAACACTGGTATGGATTTAGCTAAAAAGACTCCCATGCAGACTTTTGTGGGTGCCTCGTCATGCAGACTTTGTTCTATTTACTGTAACAAGCTGGAGCCAAAGCAGTGAGGGAATTTGACCCACATCTAAAGATACAGATGTGTTTCCAACTAAAGAGAAACCTTAAGAGTAGCAGGATCCAGTACTGACCAGCCTTCTCTGCATTGTGTGGGGGTTTGTGGAGCTCATGGCCAGGCAAGCAGGGGCACAGTCCATCACACCTAATAGAGATTGTCTTCCCGGATAAGCAGCTCTGGAACTCCAACTTGCACTGTGAAAAACACAAAAGAAAGATAATAAAAATTAACACAAAGATATATGTTGAATGTATATTCAATTTACAGGTGTTAACTATAAGATATGTGAATAGCTAGTCTGTTATGAGAAGACAGACGTGGTTATCGAGTCAGACACAATTTTAATGAAGAAATAATAATGAAGAGATAATACTACATCTCAAACAAAGCCTTTCAGGGTTTTCAGGACATCGTGCAAAACTTCGCAGTCTTTTCTTCATTGTCTGCCTTGGCCTTGATGCCCCATTTTACTCAGATCATTTTCGTTAGAGCTGGCTGAGCATCAGTGAGGAGCGATGTGAGCGATGCTTCTTTTAAAGCTGAATAAAAGTAAAAGGAGTTGCCTCTTATTTTCAGGCTGCCTTCTGTTTATCTGTTCTCTTATGGCTGAAAAATAGCAATTGAATATTCTGTACGTGTGCCAACTATGGAGGCAGTGCTTTGGTTTGTTGCAATATGCTACACCTGCATTAATTACCAACAAGCCAGGCTTCCTGAAAACAGGGAAAAAAACATTTTCTATGTATTCCCATTTGCGTGTGTAGATGTAGATGTTGAATGTTAAACTAGAGCTGACATTTGAAGGATATGGAATAGTGAAGACTAGACTTGTACACCAACAAGATGAAATGTTTCATGATTTTGACATTTGAAACTTTGACATTTTCAGCAAACAACAATTAATAAAGGACTTTAAATGAGTGTTTGCAAAGTAATAAACTGAACATTAGATGCCGTAAAAATGAACTCTTTACGGTTAGCTTACATGTTTTAGAAAAACATGAATTGGAAATTAGACTGTTCAGCTGATTGCATAAAGGGTCTGCTCTGACAGCGACAGCCATTTATCTTTGATGAACTGATGTGTCCATTAGTTAGCCATGTGGAGATGCCATTAGATGCAAAGCTGCCCAGTGACATGCTCTTATTCACTGTAGCACTAAACGAAAGGAGAAAAAGAAAGTAAGATGGATTACTTCTGAATGAAATTTAGAAGTCTAATTCTTACTTCAGGTAAGTGGTGGGCAAGAAATTGGGAGTATTTGAGGGAGAAAATATCAAATTACAAGACTCTTCCAAGAGGAATAAAACCCATCAGAATGAGTTATGTAAATTCTGTTTGCTTTATGATGATGACTGGTTTAGTTTGGATAAGACCATGACTGTGGGTAAACATCAATATCCATATCATGCCTCACACAGGCTCAGTCTTATCCTGAAAGCTCCCTCATTTCCCATGCTCGTATTCAGATCCATCATTTCCTCCGTGCCCCTTTTTGACAGCACTGCTAATGTTGCTTAATGGAATTTGTTGACAAAGGAGGAGCTTCTCGCTCTGGTATCAACATACTGAATTATGTTGAGGTGCGGTGGGGGGGGGGCAAAAGAGAAGAGGAAAGATGATTTAGGTTCAGGGAAGTAATGGATTTAACTTAGTGGGCTGAGGCCTCTCAGGAGATAAGAGCACTGTCCTCTTAATAGGATATTGAGTGTGTGAGACTGTGTGTGTGGCTATGAAGTAAGGAGCATGTAATGTAATAATAAAACATGAATAAGCTTGAGACCAGCAGCTCACTGGTGAGCAGAGTTTAAGTCGGGCCACAGGGACCCATCACTCCACCAGCTAACCAAAGCCCTCTGACTAAATTACCACAGAGAGCAGAAGGAGTTCCCCCCCCCCCCTCCTCCTCCTTTTGTTCCTATTCTCATGTCTCCTTCAGCGCTCCTCCTCAGCACATTTTTAACTCTCAGGACAGCAGGCCATTATGAAGTCTGATGTCTCGAGTTCTTCTAACACATGGGGCCAAATCATTCCTGGTTTGTCTCATGCCTCTGTGCCGGAGCCTTCTAAAAGTAGGAAACGAAGTGAAGTGAGTACGATCTGGGAGGGGGAAAAAATAAAATGTGTTGAAAAATGTAATCACCTTGATGTTGTCCATTGTTTGGAAGTCTATTTTGTTGTTTATTTGAAAATGTGGATGCGATGGTGGCAATTTGCAGTGACAGGGCAGCCACTCCCCAAAGTGCTCCAAACACAATGTTTTTTTTTTACCCTGAATGTGACCGTCATTTACCACAGGACATTAAGATGAACTGAAGATGACTTGAACAGTTATTGAGATTATAAACCAATGAAAAGAAAGACAACTTTCACACAATCCGAGGTCTGAAAATTCCATTCATCTCTTGTTTCAGAAGGGGCCAGAGATAAGTGGATTGTTTTGCCATCTGAAACAATTCAAATATGAAACACAGCCACGCACTTTGAGTGCACTATCTTCCCTCTTTTCTTTTCTGAACAGCGTGCTTGTTGCTACATTTCACTGCAGCCATGGTTGCTGTTCAGTGTTCCCTGCTGTTGAACAGCAGTAACTGATGGTTTTGGGATAGGTCTTATCCCAAAATGCCATCTACAGGGGCGAAAACATGGTTGAAAAGCCTTGAAAAGTACAAAACCACACAGACATAAAAACTTAGTAAAACCAATAAAAAAACAAATTAAATAACATTTTTCAACCTGAAAATCTGATCTGTAGAAATTCCAAATACCTTTTGAGAATATTGTAGCCAGGAAACACAGCATATGAACCCTTATTAGAGAATTGTACTTACATGAGTTATATAAAAGACTCTTTTGATCAATGGCAGAAAACTATGCGTCTCCAGCCAACATGCAACAATGTTCAGCAACATGAATGTCGTTTGGTTGAAAAAATAGACACAAATTCAGCAACTACCAGTTGGAGCATTTGCCCTGTATTAAGATCCACAACATAGCTTTCACTGATTTGGAGATTTGAACTTAATTCATGCATCAAAAATTCACTCATCTGTGTCTCAGTTCTGCTCATGGTTACATTAGCTCCCTAAATCTCCCTCTACCTCTAAATCTTTTCCAGATTCTTGATTTTTGACTCTTGACAACTGAGAGCAGTCTGGCTGAACCTCTAATGTACAGTAAGGCACTGACGAATCATAAGTACTTCACACATCCATGTATGTTAAAGAAATCACTTAATTATGTCAACATCTTATCTATGAGAGTTATTTCGGGGTTTACAATAAACCTTTGGCATTACATCACACTGACATTTTACTGCATATTTCAAAGTGATTTGAAACTTTCGTCAGAAAGAAGAAGACAAATAATGTTTGAGAAAAACCAAACACATGAAATCTGTGGTGTAAGGGAGTTTGTTTGAACAACTAGTTTCCCTTTGGAAGAGTGGTTTGATGACTTCATGTTACTTTATTTCCTGCTAAGGCAGGGATATGATTCATTTGTGGATGTCCAACAAGTTTCACAGTGCAAAAAAGATCAAAGCGAATCAGAGCCTTTGTTAATAGTTCTTTGTCATCAGCCGCCATTAAACATTTCAAGCAACGTCTCCCATTCTGAAAAAGTGATAGTAGCTCATTCTAATAAACCCATTTTTCATTCACAGTTTGACTCAGCTGTGTGCGACTGACAGGAGGTCTAATATTGCTGCTTTGAGTGATTTCACCCATACCAGCCAAATGGCTGAAGTCAGGGTAATTACAAGGATACAAAAGCAAACGTCACTAACAATCTACAGCGTGTTATATCAGGAGTTTAGCTTCACCTCTGTGTATGCCCTTTATGTCTGCCACCTGCTATCAATCTTCACTTACCTCAGTCTAATTTGCCTCTGCTTGTTGCCTCCTTTACTCATCAAAAAAGTTAAAAACAGACATCTTATCATGAAATAGTGAATTTGTGGAAAGATGTAGGGAGATATCTGCTTCAGTTAGAGCCTAGACAGGAAAGTCAAATAATATTATGATAAAAAATGTTTTTAGATACTTTTTAGCTGATTTGACTATATCTAGTTTTTTTTCACTTCTCAGACGGTAACTCATAAGACTACAAGCACATCAACACTGGATAAGAGGATGGGAAATGACACAGGAAGGAGAGGAGAGTTAGAGGGAACTGATGGAACAACCATGGAAAGTGCAAGTGCAATAAAAAAGTGAGCAGAAAACATACAAATCATTTACAATATTTATATATCCAGCAAATCTTACAGTCTTGTTGCATGTCCTGCCCTTGCTTTTATGGTTTTAAGCCAAGTAAGATGTCAAACAACTAGAACAATTTGGAAACAATGTGAGCAAAAGAGAGAAGACGAATATTAAAAAGTGATCTCACCTTGGAGGAGTAGGTGTGTCCATCAGAGCCACATACAGGAGAAGACTGAAGGGCTGAGCACACCTTACACTTCCCATGAGCTCCAGCTTCAAGCCCGTGCTTGTGGCCTACGCTGCCTTTCCTGGCTTTCACACTTTAAAGAGAGAAAACAGTTGAAAATGTGGAGGCCATCAATCTGAAACTTTTTCATTAAAACACAGATAATGTCACCAGCATGCACGTAAAAACACAAGACAGAGATATTACAGTGCCAGAGGCCAAAAGCCTTACAATATATGCAGTATATCGCACAATACATTTATGTGAGCCAGGAAAATTGCTGTAATAACTTTAAAGGCATTAAAAGTATCCAGTAGTAAAAGTAGCAGAATCTGTTCTCTACTGAGCTGGAAGAGCTTCTGACTGTCAGGGTCAGACGAAGCAGATTCTGATTGGTCCTGTGAGGCCTCTTCAGAAGCCACTGTAATTATGTTTGATCCAAATCTCACAGCAATTTTCTATCTAAGTGCTCTCATTGAACACCCTGATGCCTCCTGATCCATGTAGCAGAAATAGAATTAGAGCCAAACAGACTCTTCAGAGAGAAATGAATGTGACAACAAATGACAAAAGTGGACATTAACCACTGAAGTAAACAGGTGAAGATGCTACAGTAAATAGTCTTTTCTGTGAACACCAAACATTAGATATGTCACGGGAGGTACAGCTGGATCAGAAACATACAAATATTCCACACACAGTCCAGCTTTAACATGAAATTTTCAATTCCATTTCTATGTATAGTAAAGTCTGCAATTACACAATATGTGAGGTAAATTATCCAGCAAATAGACAGTAGAAAGTAGCCAAAAGAATGTGTGAATGAATAAATAAAATACATAATCAAGCACACACAGAGATATACTGCCACCGTATGTTAAAGACTCTAAGAAAATAATAAAACAATGAGAGCCAAATAATGCCAAAAACACAATATTAATTGTAACCGAGAACATGCACACATTTTATTTGTAGTAAGAGTAATTGAGGTAACAGTCAAATAATAGAAGTTTTAAATTAAATTAAATTAATCCCATCAAGTATGAGTTTTATGTAAAATTGTACGCATGAGGCCTTTCAGACTTCAACATTCAAACCTTTATATTTCCCTAATTTCCCTATGGGGAGGAACAAAGTTATCTGTCTGTCTGTCTGTCTGTCTGTCTGTCTGTCTGTCTGTCTGT